ATATTAATTATAATTAGCAATATTAATGGTAGTAAGTCTCATTGTAAGGAAGGACATTGGGATCTGACAACTATCTGTAAAGGCTAATAAAATATTAGCAGCAATCTTATTTTGAAATATTCTTGTCTGGGATCTAACATTGCATCAATTAAATGAAAGTTCATTTCTGGCTGAGAAATTATGGCATGTCAACTATTGAAATAATCCAGGGAACAACAGCATATCCATATGTTGCACGTAATTCCAACCCTGCCCAATTAGTAGTAGATTTTTGCATCATTGATATTCTGCCCAGTACTTTTTCCCTACACTATAAGCAGTCCTTAGCAAAAATATCAAAATGACTACTCCTCACATCCTACACATAAATCTGTGTTTGCTTGGTATGCTTCTGTTTGCCAAAGCAATGATGTAGAGAGGAGACAGGAACTCTGACAAGACCTTACAAATGCTGGAATAAACAGCAATCCTTTCCTTAGGGTAAAGTAGAAATAACATTTCAGGATGGAAACRTAGTAATCAGGTTTGTAAAAATTTTGAGCCTTTGCTAAGACTCTGAAAGGTCTGCAGAAGAGTCAATTATAACTTTGAATGTCTTTTTAAGTGGTACCTGCTACATCAGTTACCAACCAGCATTTTGGTCTAGCAGGAGGTATTAAAGATCCTGCGTGGAGTTTTTGAAAACTAATAATAATTCTGGGAAAGTGACATAACCAGTAGCCCTCTAAGTAGTCTTTAAGTGCCTACATAGTAGAGATCCAAAGAACAAAGGTTTGCAGAAGAAACACTGATAAGGTACTAATACTTGTATGCAGGCTATGTTTTCTGAGCACATGGTAGAATTTGGCTGTGACACAATATAGACTGCTGTATTTTTCATCAAATGGTCTCTATCATCCGTATGTATTTTGCATATGCTTTCTGATAGGTAAGGAGTGTAACTTACATCCCTGTAGGCTTTGTTCTCTGCCTCTACATCTACCATTTGGCATAGCTAGTAGAAGCCAGTTAGAAGAAAACTAATATTTTCCTTCCTTCCTTCCTTCCTTCCTTCCTTCCTTCCTTCCTTCCTTCCTTCCTTCCTTCCTTCCTTCCTTCCTTCCTTCCTTCCTTCCTTCCTTC